ATAGACCTACTTCCGGCGGAAGAGATTCTAGAGGAAGTGCTCCAGGAGGTAGAAGACGCAAAGACTTCCATCGAGAATTCTCACGTGCCAAACAAGGACGAGACCCACGATGGAGAAGTTGAAGATGACGTTGAAGTTATAGAGGATGAATCCAACTTGATTCAAGTAGCGGACAGAACAACTCAGTCCCAGGCGCAAGCTTGGCAGCATGAAGAGCAAGAAATAGGCGCTCACGATAATAACTTCGATAAAAGGATAAAAAATTCTCGCCTCTCACCAAAAGAATATCGCGAGGATCCCTCAGCCTCGATTAAAGATCGAGATGAAAAGTCTTCTGTTGACGACATTCAAAAGCCTACCAACTCCACGGACGAAGACACATCTCCAGCCTCGGAAACGGAAAAATCTGAAAATGAAGATTCTGATAAAAGTGAGGAGAAAAATGAAGATGATGATGAAGGAGAAAAACAAATTACCAACAAGGAATCAGAATCAAGCGATCCCCGAAAAATTTTGAAACCAGACAAGATTTCTAATGACGTTGATAAAACCAGCTATATTTCTTAGCCATTGTACCTCTCAGGAAGCAACTTAATTGCAGCTTCTTATCACAAAATTAAAACATAACTCAACATCCCGTATGTGATGAGAGTGGATAAATTTTTCCTCCAAAGCATCTATCTCGATCGATATGTCATCAAATTCTCTTAACAAATTGGAAAGGAAATGGATGGTAGCAAGAGATGAGAATTACGCATCTGATGCTTTATTTTATTACAAACTTGAGCTAATTTCAAATAACTGAGAACTAGCTGAACCGTTAACACACGCACAAAATTTAAGGAGCTGGGCAGCAGTGTTATGGCGATTGAATCACTGACTGTTTTATAATATGTTAGCAAAACGACCAATGAGAAGTTAGCGAAACGACCTAAGACGTTAACAATCTGGTAGTTAGCAAACGACTCAAAGGCGAAACGACCGGCTCCCTCCACAGAGGTTATTTGCTGTAAACAAGAGTATCGATGTCATTTGATTTCGTAACTTGAGTGTCGTGAAATTGATAAATTAATCGATATTTATACTTGCATTATACAAAATGAAGCCAGATTAAATATTGTAAATTCTGTGTTTATCTTTCTGTAGCAGCATTTCACCAACATTCGCTTGAGTTTTTATTTACAGATTCATTATGGCTTTTCCCTCAGTAGCTACATTTTATTTTTATTTGAACCCATTCCCCAAAAGCACCTTGGCTTAACGAGGGGAATTACAATAACTTGACATAACCATCTTATGCTCTTCATAGTTATACGGCACATTGGGGAGGATTAGCGGAATGAAATTATGCGAAAGCAAAGATAGGTCACCCTAAGGAAAAATAATAAGATAGAGAAGGAAAGTCAGAGCGTTGGCAGGGATGTGCGATTTCACTTAAGTTGTTTTTAGCATTGGGTGGAAATCATTGTGGTTTCCTAGTGTAAATTCTTATTGTTGAAGTCAGTTTGATATCAAAGCACCAATCTCCTCGCTTTTCGTCAATACTTCAATCTTATTCACAGGCAACCAAGACTCACTCAAAGATGACGGCTGTTGTTCATTTTTCGTGAGCTTAAGGCCATATACAAAACGAAAAGCGATGCGCGAGGAATCATTCTTAGTAATCAAACTGATCACCTGGTTGCTCTCTAAAGGAAATTCATATCGCCAGGAAACGATCGACCTAAAAACACGATTCGGACACTTCTCGAAGAAGCTATCAAGTGTGTGCATTGGGACCGCCTATGTTACACGCCAGGTATCAAGCTTTTTGTTACCTCTGTGAACGCATTTATCCTTCATACATTTCTTTTACGTTACGTTCACTTTTCACCAGACGCGGTATTCATAGAACTTCATTTGTTAGATTAATCAACAAATTCTTGTAAAGTTCGTGGCTGTGCTGTACTGTACAGGAAACTGGGGAAAGTATTCTAAGTTTGAAAAGGACGGAACAACCCCAAAATGGCACCAGAGCCACAAAAGAGCTCTATATCAATGGTACCCCTGAAGGAGTTAAAAGCTAAATCTACCGTTCATGCTTTAAAAGGTATAAAGGAGGTGCTAAGAAAATTGAGCAATGTTCGTCTAAAAGAAAAACTCGTTGTCTTCTTCACTTAACCTAACATGCATGTTAATTACCGTTTTCTTTTAAGACCGCTTGAAATTTATTATGAAGAATTATTAAAGAATTAACCTTTTCTGTTGTTTCATCCGTGTTAAACTAAATTGGAAGAGGATTATCAATTACCTCAAACAAAATTATATTAACAATATGAAAACGAATTATTTTATGGGTTGAAACTCAAAGCAAAGTCTAGACTATTATTGTTTGAATGATTACATTTTCCGGAAAATGAGGTACGAAAAAAGTATTTTGAAAGTTTCCTGTTTTGTTCATAAATCATGGATTTAAATTGTGCTTTGTTCAGTCAAAACACAAAAAAACATCTGCTTCTGTTATGTAGAGTTTTGAAGTAACATTCAGACACACAATAATTGTTTTGATATGTTTATGTGCCCATTTACTTCGACTTCAATTACATTTTCCGGTGCGAAAAATATATTATTGATGCATCATAAACAAAACTCTCATTTGAAACTTCTCACTTATAAGAAAATGAGTCTGTCAACGGTAAATACCGTGCAGATCACAGAGTTAAATGAAAGTCGCTTTAGAGAAGAGGCTGTTGATATATTTAGAGTTAAAAAAGCCGCCAAACGCTCTTTTTTGTGTAGAGATCGCCGTGAGTTTGGTTCTCTTCAGTTTACGATAGGAAATCTGAAAAAAACCAGCGAGAACAAGATCAAGGAATATGAAGAAAACAAGCGTAATCTACAGTGGTTTTTGTACAATCTTCGGCAGAAAAGAACAGGTAAAAATTTACCGCCAGAGTATAAGATCCTTACTCAAATTAGATCATTCATGAGTTACACCATATTGTGAATTTAACTGTACCCAACAGCGCTTTTTGGGAATTAACACGCTTTTATGTGTCTTTAGCGTCGTATCCCAACGTTCATTCCTGATTGCTCTCGAACTCATCGCGAAAAATAGCACTTGATTTTGATTCGTGAAACACCTTCAACAGAACAGATAATACTCTGAAACATTTCGCATAACTAAATTGATCACTTGACGTTTAAAGCCCCCTTTTAAATATTTCGATCTCCTCTGTGATTGTCGCTTAACCCTTTAACTCTCATGAGTGACCAAGATAGAATCCCTCATTACAATATCAGTACAATATCGACCAGATAAGCGATGGGAATAAAAAAAATATATACATTTAGGGATAACTATTTGATCCAGCATAAATTCTCTGAACTAACATCAAAGGAAACGTTGTATGGCCGGGCTAGGTAGCAATCCAAATTTCAAATAAACTTATCTATGAAAGCCGGTTTCAAGCTTCCTTACTGCCACATAATGCTTACTGTTAACGATATCCACTAAAGCTGGGTTTCGGTGAAGATGAAGATCAATGAGTTCTTTATAGTAGATAAAAGTTTTCCCTCGAACTCTCCTTATGCGATAAAACCCCGTATGGAAGCGGTTTAAATCGATAATTTAGCAAAATTCTTTCGTTTCCATTGCGCATCCTGACTGCGCAGCGTTTGATGCTTTACTAACAAGGGCACATTATGATCAAAGGAAGAACTCGTTTAACGTGCATGTTGACATCCTTGTCACCTAATTCAGATCAAGTAATCATTCCGATCCTGTAGGGAACTGCAATTTTGAATTTGTGTCACGCGGTTGAAAGCATAGGATTTTCTGCGAACTGATCATCTACAACCTCCTGCTAGATAGAACCCTTCAATCATGATACATGATCTAAAATGGAAAATTTTCTCTATTATCACCTTGACTCGCCGTTACCAGTAGAAAACAACCCACTCTGTGTTGACAGCTTTTGATTTTAGCCACAATCTTCCTTCTGAAAACTTAGTGTAAACAAATTGATTTACGATACCCCGGATGAGAGCTATGACGACGGTATGAGGAACTATTGCTTAAGAAAGGGTGTGGCTCCAAGACAAACTTTAGTGGAGTCCAAAACATCATGACTGTTTTGCAGAAAATTTTAAATGTATACATTTGATATTTTTTCACCAAATGTCGGTACTAACACACAACAAAATAAATATTGACACTTGTCAGACTGCAATTACACCAAAGTAGCTTTAACTTTAAATATGAACAATGATGAAATTCAAATTGAAACACGGGAAAATTATTCTATCAGGTTATTGGTTCTGATGAAGTGAATGGAACCACAACATTAGGAAAGATAAAAATCTTTCAGGGCCTTTCTTTAAGAAAGCTTTTAAATTATTTTGAACTAAGTGATACCATATAAGCATCTAAACAAGCAATTTAGCTAATAACTATTTTGAAAACACAAATGATTATGCACTCACCTTTGTGGCTTACCGATGTCGCTATTAGCAGATTAACACTAAAAACTTTTAAAGTGTTATTGCCTACGCTAAAAAAATCTCATGCTTATTTAATTTTCGAGAATGGATTTTTTTTAGGAAACGGTGCGAAACTTTGAACTATGAAAATAATTTGCGAGAGGCGAAGTTGTGTATACGGTCTATATTTCCGACTGATACTTTTCTTTTTATACCTATTTTATGTTATTTTCAGTTAAAGTGCGTAAGAGTCACCTTGGTAAAAAATTAATTCTAATTTTCGTTAATAGCACCATGTCCTCTAGAGCTCAGATGGAAAATAACAAAATAATTGCTTGTATTATTCATAAGACTATGAAGTGTAAAGAAACACATTCGCGGTATGATTTGCACCTTCAGAAGGATTTGAGTGCTAATTTCAGTGCATTTACAAAAAAAAGCCTCTGATTTTAGCTCCTGAAGACGGCCAATCAAAGACAAACCCTTCATTCTTCATATAAAATGATAGCAGTTAAGAAAAAGGGTGTACATTTCTACAATTCACTGCGTGCAAAATCTATGAAAGATTCACGCTTTAAACAACAGTCACGCTGAGAGTTGTCTCCCTGAAAACTCTTTGCACATGTATTTCGATGTGAAACATAACAGTTTGCTCGCTCATACGGGAGGAAAATTGTTAAGAACAGATCAAATCGGGCTGCCGAGGTCGCCCCGGCTTCGTCGGGAATATGTTTTGGATGGCAAAAATTTTGCTGGCTCAACGAAAAAAGTATGTTATGGGAGACTTCGTAAAGAAAGAGTCTCGCTGCTTAGAGAAATGAAGGTGTTGCAAGAAAAGGTGGAAGTAAATCTTAAAAGACAAAGGCAAGAAAAAAGTAACTTGGAACAAATTGTTCATCATTTGAATTCTCAAAAGGAAGGTGAGAGCGGCTGAAGGAGTTTAAATTCAAATTAATCTGCAAACGATCCAATGGAAGGGGCTTTTCGTAAAATAGCGAAGCATTAGAAACAGGACAAAACCAAAAGGTCGTCAGCTCTAGTTTAAAAGATAATATCTTTTTACAATTTTTCCGACAAAGTTCGAAGTTTTCTTGGTGGAGTAAAAAATCGTTTGAGGCGTCAAAATGAGTATTGGTGCGGGCTCCTAAGACTCTGTCGGTTGAAGAAGAAAAGAATTACTAAGTTTTGACGGCAAAGATAATTTGTCAAGGTAAGGCGACGAAGGAGTATTATTTTTTGTGACCGTCGTCGTTATAAATTTCGCCTTCCTAAGATTGCTCGCACGCTGAAGATGCACTAACAAGATTTGTCTATAATTCCATCTGAACTTTCAATGATTGATCATCGGCAGACAAGTTTAAGTCGCCATGATCATGATTATTATGCTTTTAAAAAAAAGGACCTATGTCCTGGACTCTTTGCCACCCTTGGCTGTGAAAAATAACCGCCTTTACTTATCAACTTCTCACAGGTGCGACACCTCCAGGAAGTGTTATTGCTGGGAATGCGAGTGGTCTCGTGTCTCTACGCGGGATGCAGGCGCAAAGTGATTGTCGGCTCATCAAGAGCATTCGTCGGCCTCTGGCACCGGAAGCTACAAGAGATCACGGAAACAGGCTAATCAGTTTCCAGTCTAATTTAACATTCAAGGAGGGCTCCTTTATTCCACGGGTTGTAGAACGCGAAATTCTAAGAAGACGAAACAAGCGCTTGAATGCTAAAAGACAAGAGCAATTGGAGGGTGTGAAACAACGAGAAATGCAACTGGCAGACACCGTGGGCGTGTATACAAGGATAAACATGACCAAGGGTAGTTTGAACTACAAAGGAAAGCCGAAATACAGGTAAAGGAAGTCTGAACAAAGATTCCGTACTATCGGTGCATAAAAAGGGACAGCGGTGACAAACACGACAAAGACTCACACGTCGCAAAAATGTGATGTTAAAGTACTGAATGTTTCTTATACTTAGGTGTTTATCTTATGCGAAAAAAAACAGACACAGATAAATGAAGCGTATTATCTTCGTTTAGATATTATCACCTTGTCATGGCAGATTTACGAGCTGAAATTCTCCCAGTTGCAATCTTTTTACCTTCAAATCGTACGGGGAACATCGAAAGTATGCAATTTCTTTCTATTTTTTTATTTTTCTTTGCCGTGCTAAGGCAAGGTTCCCAAAGTCTTGTGGTGTTGGAGTACCTCTAGGTATGGTGCCCTTTCGTGCAGATGCCATTTTGCAAAGTTTGATGATGATAGAAAAAAAATACATCCAGTTATCCATTTCTGGTTGTGGTCAGAGCGGATCTAAATTAGGATTTAATTTAAATGTTAACTGAAAGAATGAAGATTAAGGTTTGAAGCCTGCTTTTCGGCGAGGTCCGTCACGCGAGTCACAAAGAATCAGTGGGGAAAAAAAATATTGGAGTGAGAGTGAGGCGCACCAAAAAGTAGGCCAGAGGTACAGGCCGCGCCCCGACATAATTTTGATTTTTTTCACTGATTTTTTTTTCTTTTTTTTGACTCGTGCGATGGACTTCGTCGAAAAGGAGAGACTGCACGTAGTGTTGATGCATGGCTGAAAATCAATCATGCTCGTAAAAGATTTAGTGTCTCTCAATGCCTCTCTCCTCCTTTCTTTTTTCGCCCATTCACTTGCAGGGAATTTGAAATGAGGACAGGCGACTCTCATGCAACCTTACCACGTTCGGTGAAATGTCACTATGATATACCATCAATAGAACTCAACCAGACAGCCAGCTTGTGGTCTAAGGAATTTATTGAAAAGAAAAAGGTCGACAACACGTATAAAAGACTTCTACCAAATATGGAAAAGATGGAGCTTATCCTTCCAGTACAAGATAATTCAACCGATAAAATCTTCAGTGTGGTTTCGAAACAAACAAGAAATGAATGTACACAAACCAAAGAAGTAATTCGAGGGAAAAGCAAGGCTGCCAGCGTTCAAAAAGATGATCGTAAAGGCACCAAACAAAAAAGCTTTGCTAAGGACCGTGAAAAATGCAAGAAACCCGAAGACAATAAGGTTTTTGCGCCTAAAGATCTTAGTGAATATCGAAAAGACGTTTTCGATGGAGAGATTCCTGTCGATTTTGTCGCGGTAGAAGAAACCTCCTCAGTCGTGCAAAATACAAAGACAAAAAATGATCTTCAGAGAAAGGCAGATCTAGTTGTAGAAGACAGAGAAGGAATAACTTCGACGAAAAACAACAGTACAAAGATGGTTCGCACCGTCAGGAACAAAATCATTCCACTTGTGAAAATTCAACGGCAAATAAAGCCAGCTGTAAGAAAGGATCAAAATGACTTTTACATCGACAGTGTCATGAAAGAGAATAATGTTACAGGAAACCAAGCAATTTCTGAGTTAAACGAAGTGTCAGATGAAGTTGATGGGGAAAAATCCCACATTCCCTTGAGCACTGGAAAGCTACAACAACTTATCCGCGAAAATGTGCTCGGCCAATCACAGAAGAGCAACAAGCGAGCCAATAAGAAAACAGTATTGCTTACCGACTACGTGCGCACTCTACAAAAACACATGGGTATTAAAGCCTTAGGACCAGAAATTGCGAGCAATTCGCCCGATTTTAGTGCAACACCGTTCATACCTACAGGAAAGAGATTTGGATGTGACGACGAGTACGGTGAAGAACCTAGTCTCTTGGAGAGAAGGTTGAAAATTTTGCAGAAGCAAATAATAAGACTGCCCGCGACATTCACACTGATCGATGGAGACTTGGTAGAAGACTAAAAAGACAGGGAGTCCAAATCTCAATTGTCTTTAGTGTCAACTGTCTCTGGTCTCCTCGCCCCAATTTCCCTAAGGGGCGCCGAGGAAACTGGGGCGAGGAGATGGCTGACAAGATTGAAATCTCCGCACAGTGGCAAAAAGTTGTCACTATTCAAACTGGTGCCATAAGTTGAAGAAAGCCAGCACAAACGAAATATTTGCTTACTCACTCGTTAGTTTCAATATTGATAAGATAGAGATTTTGCGCTGATCTCTATTGAAGCTTGCTTCATCTTATAAATCAGTATACAGATTTACAATGCGACTTCGTACAGAAAGTGTCATAGTACTCTCTCTCGCGATCAACGATAGACAGATATGAAGCCACGTTTATTACAAATGAAGGAAAATTATCTACCCACATTAAGATCGAATACTTCTACGTTACTGCCCTTGTATATGGCTGAAAGAAAAACAGTAAAATTAAGGTTCAACTGTCGTAGTTCATCTAGTAAACATCAAGCTCATCCTCAGCTCAGGGCAAAATACTCAATAAAAAAAAAAAAAGATAGAAACTTGGCTAGTTGTCTCCCGCTCTTTGAAAAGAGAAGACCATGAGTCAGACTGTTTATAGAAATGAAAATAGTGACTGAGAAAGATCGGCTGCTTGGTTCATCACGAACGGTATGAGTCACGAGTTTTATGATGATGAACATCAAATGAATATACTTCGGGCGGTCGTCAATTAAGATTAAATCTTAAAGCATCTTTTCTAAACGATTCGCCCCAAATATTTATGAAATTTCCCCCTAGGTTTTTCCTTGGACTTCTTTACCAATATAAAGATAAAATGCTATTTCAATTTTCTCGTTGCCTAGAGGCACTTAGCAGGGGTTTAGGATAATAGTTGATCTGAAAGACGTTCACGGCCTGTTAGAATGTTCCAGAAGAGAAGTTTATTTGACCAGTGACATAGCATAATAACAATTCAATGAACAATCCAATAAAACGCAGTAGGTTCTCAGACCGAGAACAACTGCCAGAAGAAAGTTCTTAGAACGAGTTTGGACTTTAGAGGTCAGCAGGTCGAAAAACGAGTGTGGAAAATTACATATTTTTTTGTTGATTTGTTTCAAGGTTTCGAAACTGGGTGGTGCAAACTTACCAAGAATTCGTAGGGGGTACCTCCCGATCCTCTTTTTTATTGAAAGTAGGAAGCTCTGTAATCTTCCAATTCCGAGAGATGCATGGTAAAAATCATACAAAGTAGAATAGCCAATTTAATTCCGAATTATTCATCCGCTCGCGTGCCTCTAATATTTCATCAAGGTTATCAGGTCTGTTGGATACCACAGCAGCTACATGCATACAACATCATTACGACATGCTGGCTCGCTCTGGAGAGGAGACGACGTCCTGTGGACAACCCTTTGATTGTCGACGTCAATTGAATATCCTTCAAAAGCATTATTCATCAAGAAAAACAAGTTTATTTCATTGAAGTAATTCTTGACTCTACCGCTGAACTCTAACTTAGCAGCACTCCAAGCTTTCATTTTTCTCGTTTGAATGATGACATTTATGATATACTGTTGTTACAAGTGGACGAGCTTTGCCATTAAAATACTTGATTTGATATTTATATTACGTTTCTGTTTTGATATTACTTGCAAATTTTAAATGTTTTGTGTGTTCCCTTTTTGTTGTATTAGCATAACATAAGCTTTTACTTAGCACACTTAGCGAGGATTTTTCGATTCCGGTCTCAGTTCCACATCGAGATAGAAGCGCGGGCCTGTTTCCCTAACTAGTCATTGAGCCGCGATGACCTTAATGCCAAAAAAAAAGAAAAGAGAAGACACAAAACACTGAACCTTCCGATATTTCCTCTGAGGGACCGCAAAAATATTTATATGATGTGTTATGATAAATTAGTTGCCAGGCGGAAATGAATTACTCTTTTCCTTTAAAGGCATCAATATATCATTCTCTACTTAATAAGAGGAAGTGTTAAAGGCACTGAGAGAATTGTTGAAGCTTCATTTGCAATATCGGCCCGAAAGTAGCCTTGCATTGACGTAGTGGCAAGACTAAGCGACGAAGCGCAAGCTACAAACCGGCTCGTCTCTCGCTTCTTCGTCACTCCTAGTTAACCCAGCGCTAATAAGAGTTTGTTCGCAGACTTAATTTGCGGATGATGTTCAATAGACAGCCACTACCTGTTTTAGACCCTAGAATATTCTGTCGTTGCAAATTTCCCATTTCGCCCATCGTTAAATAATCTCACTAGGATCTATGCGGGGCTCCTAGTGCAAAATGTTGTTTAATTAAACCTCAGCGTCTACTCATTTTCGAAGTCAGTCGAAAAAACCGCAGTCCACAATGGTGCCAAAAATTACCGATTTATGGGAAAAAAATTAATGATTTCTCGCAGCCAAAGACATGCAAGGTCTAAGCTACGGAACATACTGAAAATTTCCAATCGATGCATCTTCTGTTTCACAAAAATAGGGGCCAGAACTTTTCCATTTGAAAGAAACCTATTTGATAGGAGGTTCTCTAAAATTTATCATCTTACCCCTGAAACATCTGTAATCAAAAAACTAAAATCATCTCGATAACTGTGTTAGCTCGCCTTGTCATCTGAGCACACTTTAATTTGCACAGACTTAGACTAATGGGGTGAGTGAGACGTCAACCTCGATCCCAACCCACTCAGGATACCATCATAAGTTTGTAGAAAGAGACCCCTTTTGGTGCGCTGGTGGATTTACCTTCCGTTACCAATTTGGCTGCGTTGTATTGGTAAAATAGGTGAATAGGTGGCAAAAATTGCAAGTACAAAAGTATTCCATTATTTATATCTTGAAAAAACATGATCTTAGTTTTAAATCACAGTTCCTGTCTTATTTTCGCGTGTGCGAAAACAGCACAATATCCTTACTTGTATTTTAACATCCGTACAATATAGTTTCGTGTCAACGACGCGTGATGCTAAAAAACATTTCATGCTATTTGCCAGCTGGTTAAATACTGTTTATTTCGAGCTGTGTAAAAAACTTAAGTTTACTTGGATGGTAGTACAGAACTGGTATGATTAGTCGTCCACATTTTGGATCGTTTCTCTCTTGTTCTTGTTTTTTTTTCCACGTCTTTTTCCACGTTTTTGTCAACAACCTCAGTTCAAAACAACTTATATTCGACCAAGTTAGCATGGCACTTGAGCTGATAAACATACCCCTTTCGTAATATTGTAATATTTACTTACCACCTTAAAATAGCGCCAGGACCAAGTAAACTCGAGTTCGCCGCGCGTGGGCTACAGCTAGACTGGATAGAAAGAATTTTCAAATTCTTTTCAAATTGTAGTCCAAAGGTGATCAAACAACGGCGAAAAATGCGGTTGTATTGTGTCTTTTCATGACAAATGCCATTGTGTTTGCCGAAAAATACATTTCCGCAATTCCTGACCTTGAATAAGTGTTACTTTGCGAAAGAAGCCATATCACGATATATTTTCAGAGTGTATGAAATAATCATTGAGTAACATAGGAAAATCGAAAGGAAAAGTTTGCCAGGGTAGAACAAAAAGATAAGACCAAATCGAAAATTCAAATTAACATGGATGGCTGCAGATGGTTGCAAACGGCGATTGCTACTGCACAAACCGAGGGGTTACCCACTCCACATAATCTAAAAATTGTTTACCGCTTTCTTCTAAGTTCGGACTTGATAAAAAAAAAAAAAAAATGATGTTATCTTTCAATTTATTGATTTACCGTGAATCCCTTGAAGACGATATTTATGACACAGTTTAGTAAACTAGGAAGGCTAAAACCACGCACACAAAGAATTCCGGGTGCAATAAAATTCGGTCGAATCAATTACTGGTTGACGACTGTCGCTAATTACTGTTGCTCTGCCGTGCGATAAATTCCTTATCAGATGCCTAGCGTCTTCATTTCTTGATATCAAGTTAAGGGTGCACGGAAGCCCAAAGAGCAAAGTTAATGGTTCGCCTACGTCACTATTCTAATGGTGGATTAAAAAAACCACTTATCATTTCCTAAATCTAAGAGGTCTTTAAGTACTCAAGAGAAACTGAAAGTATTCCGCTTCAATCAGAATGAAAGGAAAAATGAAAATTTCAACCGTTGCGTCTTTTCCATATTAAGCAGTGAAGTGTTACCGCACGATCACGAGTTCCTTCCTGAAGCTGTTGACCATAGAAAGAGGAAGGGCGTAATAGATACCAGACAACGAGAGACGCTAAGTGTTACATGTAAAACGTAAAAGATAGATTTATCACCTCGATAAATGCAAATTCTAAAATTGCACCTTTAATTTCGCTTAGTTTTCATCCAATCCTATTAAGAAAGGACCAAAAAGTATCCTTCCTTTGCAAAATTCAAATATTTTCACGTTATGCCAGGAATGTTTTAAACACAAATTTGAGCGGGTTTCCACCACTATTCCGGAGAGAAATTGGAAATTATCGCAGCTGTAACATCTCAGTTAAACATGCTGTGCCTAAATCTAATACCATTAACACAACAGTTAGGATATGTATCTATGACTCTGGTGTTTCCGGCATCCAGTAACAATTTCTTAGCGTACAAATTTGTTAGTTTTATCTCTTCACATAAGTCGTTTCTTTTTTGTTTTGTTTTGTTTTCCTCTTTTACTTAAATTCCGTCTGAAACAAAAGGAAAATCTCCGATTAAAACGATTTAAAATAGTCACTCAGTACTCAGTTGATGCTTAGCAATTTAATTCAAAAAGTCAAGTATTGAGAGGAGGATCTCGTTGTTCTCTCAGACGCTTTGAGGGCAGATGATAAGTCTAGCTTGTGTACAGAGTTTGTATGCCAGGATTAGTTCTCAACCTGTAGTGCATCAAACAAAATCTTAAGGATGCACGTGCTCGTCTCGTATCGGTATGCACCTCGAAACGCTTGCAGTCAATCCGGCATTCTCGTTTCACGGGCCCCTACTTGATCCGTGCGAGGCATGCAGCCAGCCACCACCCAGCAATTTCCGCCTCAGCTACCGCAGCTTGCTTGACGATGACCATGACTAACATAAACCGACTCGAAACCACTAATGGAATAAACAAAAGAAACGTCCTACATTTGATTAATGAGACCCATATTGTTAGTTGTTATTATTAGTAGTTTGTAATAAAAGAAGAATCTGCATCAGTTTTCTACCTTCTCATTATTTTCCATGTTTAACCCACCTTGGATCGGAAGTGACTTAAAAAGAAGGTAACACAAGAAGAAGTTATTATCAACTGAATAGAAACAAGAATGGGTTGGGTTTAGAAATTTTTCCAAGGGCGGTGATGTTCAGGTGTACACACACTGACATCTGATGCCGACCCACGTAAACCTAAAACAAAACAAATGGATCCTCGTTTCTCACTTTGCATCATTTCTTATGTTTATATTAGATCCATTACACATAGGTAGGCGATCCGCCGACTTCTGGGATTGTTTGTTCAAGCAGAGTTTGCATTTAAAAAAAAGCGAACTCTTTTAAAGATCAAAGCGCCGACATATTATCCACAACAGTTTGGAACGTCAGTTCTTAAAAGACTTTGTCGCCTCTCGGGAGTTTTACCGCTTTCATTTGTTTGTTTAGGAGGTGGGACTTTTCGAATTGCAGAGGTCAGGTCAAACAAATTAAAGTTGTTTCGCTTTCACTCTGGGACAGAAAAACACCTCATCATAATTGGTT